TACTGCCTGTTGCAACTCAATTACCTTTAACCGTCCAATAAAATTCCTTGTGAACTTGGACAATACATTGACAATGATTACCTGTATTGGCTTCCACTTTGTAAAATGGGCTAGGAATACCACCATACACATGATTTTCTTGAGCAGATGTTTTTTCCTTTACACAGAAAACTACGATTTTAATTGGATTAATTTTTAATGTTCTCCAGATTACAAAATGTGTGTGTTCCCATGCTAAACCTCAAACATCAAATTAGGAGTAAAACATTAGAATGAGTGCTTCAGGGTTAAATATTGTACTTTTTGATTATTTATGAGGCCAATCATCATGAAATCAATTACCAAGAAGTAGGGCCCAAATAATTGGTGGTCCTTGAACAATAAATTATTTCAAATTCCATAACTGGAATCCGAATAGTTTACTTTTGGTTACCTGCAGGTGCTATTGTAAATTTGTTTAGATTCTTTCTTTTTTCTTGGAAAATAAAATAAAAACTAAATAAGTATACAGTAGTCAAGCAATCTAAAACATCCCGGAACATAGATTTTATTTCCAATACATTTCCTTTTAGTGGTCCCTGAACATGAACTGTATTCCTAATGCTATAGAACTCGACTATTTATAAGTTTAGCAAACATACTTTCTAATATCATAATGCCCAACCTGAATTATAATGGATTCTCCAAAAACCATATATAGCTGTAAACATTCTCATATCTCTAGTGGCTGTTTAAATATGAATTATTTCGGAAACACATAACATATAACAACAAATTAACAAAGCAGGCTAGCTGGGTATGTAATTCTGATTCGCAGACAGTGGCGTATCTAGAAGTCTTGAAGTGGAGGTACTCATTGGGGGCGCGAAAGTGAAGTTGGGTGGGGGGAGGGGGCTTGATGATCATTTGAGGGGTGCAACAAGCTTTGTAATTTAAAATGATATTATGCCAAGGAGCGCATTGTGACTGGGTATTACAATCCTTTTCTGAGACCAAATCACCATTAAATCAGATCATAAATGATTATGCCAGATTTCACTGACCCAAAAGCAAAAAATAAGCAAAAAAAAACAAAAACTGTTCACTCCAATTGGTGATTTTCACATTTTAAATATCAGATTTAAACATTCTTTACTACATGAAAAGTATGCAAATTTATGTCTACGAATTATAATTAATGTAATGTGATTTTAAGAAAAAGTAATTCAGGTCATCTAAGGTTAATTAAAGATCAATGATCCATGTAAATTGTATTTATTTATTCTTTGTTTTCTGTGATGATTATTATTACTTCACCATTTTCCATATAGTTTTTGCTTTGTAATATATATAAAATTATGTTTATATTAATATATATTTCTATATGTAATTTTATATATAATATACATATTATTTTATTACTCTAAGTTTCCTCTTTCTGTATGTATTGTAATTTTTGTGGCCTAATAAATGTTGTAAAAAATATGTAGACTTTTAATTTCAGATATTGTTTATACTATTATAATATGCTCTATATTTATTCACATTCTTGTCATAGTATACATTCTATTTTTGCATTAATGCATTTGGATGTAATAAAATATAAATAAATATATATAATATATTTACTTTTAAATACATTTTATTTTCAGAGGTTAACAGAAGTTAAGAGGTAAAATCTTAATGATATTTTCTCCAGTCAATGCCCTACCTAATCTAACCCTTGGGAAATACCCAAGGCCTATAGGTGATCATGTCTAGTGAAGGCCATTTTTTTTAGGAAACATTCAATGGTTTAATTTGTAATAATGATGTCATTAGCCTGTATGTTTCAACATGCTACATAGGAAATGATATACTGTACTGCCTTATAAATACGGACAAGTAATATGTAACCTAATTATGTATGTGCCATTAATGTTACGAAATGAATTTTAGAAGGTTGTTTTCAAAATGGAAGCATATGGAGACATCCCTTCTAGCATATTGAGGGCGACAAACTTAAACCACTATGTTTCTCACTGGCAGGCCGTGTGCACACAAGAAATGATGGTGAGGCATCTAATTTCACCGCCAGTATTAATTTTAGTTCTGCAGACATTAGGTTGTTTGTTTCTTGTACACAGCATGATATATTTGTAATAGATGAAATACATTATTTTCTCCAAAAATTATACAGGTCTACCTCCAATTAAAGACACCTATAAATTAGAGACCACCACATAGACTGAATCGTCGGCTCGGGTCATGTGACATATAGTGGGTATTAGGGTTTGTTTACATCTATCGAGATCGCAAGACGACAGTGCATTGAATATGACTTCGCCTTGTTGTTGATGTAAGTCACATCATAGATTTTGCAAATGTTGGTTGGAATGCGAGTTATAATTTGGTAAATCACTTAAAAGTGTTTCAAAATTAAATTTTCAAACACTTATCAGTTTGGTTTGGTACGGCTCCAATGGATAGTGATAATAAAGCCTGGAAGTTTTGGTACTTTTTAGGCATAGGCCTAAGTAAAAAATATTATTCATGGCAAATGCTATCGCAGCATGAAAAGAAAACAAAAAAACCAATCTCCCCATTTGTTGCAAGAGTATCTCCGGGTCCTGGTCAAGGTACGGTACCTTCACAACGTTTATATTGCTCCAGTGGAGTCATCGCTGGCTGAGGTACTATTTAGGCCTTGGCCTAAGTCAAGAATATTATTCATGGCAAAAATGCTATCGCAGCATAAAAAAAAAAAGAATCTCCCCATTTGTTGCAAGAGTATTATTTTACAGTTATTTTAAATCCAAAATTATATCATAGGATGTCTGTAGTTACTGCCGAGGATAATGATCGTCATATGACATATTATTACGTACTGGCATTAGGATTACCAACCAGGCCTATTATCACCAGCCTGTTTCACAAGTCTGGTTGAGCAATCAGTACCGTTAAGGGTTATTTTCTTTATTGCCTACAGTACTCAACTACAGAGATATATAGTCGAGGCATAACAACTCCCTCCCCGCTCGGACCCTGGTCAAGGCTTAACACTCACACGGTGCAGCCTAGGCCTATACCTGTATGTAGCCTACTGTACACTAGCAGAATTCCAGAGCCTAAATAAAATGCATGGAGATTGCCAAAGTAATTATAAATCACTATTTAAAAAAAACATAGGCTTACTGCCTTAATTTACTTTAGGTCGCTGTCTAAAAAACATCATAGCTCTTTCAATATACTGTGTTCAATGAGCGCACTGTGGTTTACGATGTGGATGTTTACATTTAATACCCACTATATGTCACATGACCAGTAATAGCTGGAGTTGCCGATTCGGTCTATTTAAGACCATTTCTCTGTGGTTCTAAATTAACAAGTGTCTTTTATATTTATTATTCTAATTAGAGACCAAAGCTGCTTAAGACCTTAAAAACCTTGGTCCCAAAATTATGGTCTTTAATTGGAAGGGGACCTGTATATTAAAATATCATTTAAAATTAACTAAACAAAACAGAAATACTGATTTAAATATATATCTGATATTTTGGAAATTTGCAAAATGCATCTTCTCAGCAAATATGGTATAAAGACACTGAATTGATATATGAAATATTGCTGCTTAAGCCACTATTCAGATAATTATAAATGCTTCGATAAACTAAAGGATAGAAATTCCCCCAAAATATGATTTTTTTCTTACAAGCTACAACATTTCTCAATGAGAAAATAAGAAAAGTTCTCATCAACATCCAAACAGATGTTCTCTTTGAGTCACCTTCACATACAACATTTTTAACCATATTTATAAAGGGTGACCGTCTCAGTGTATCCTAGAAAGTTGGCTGATATTCAGTGGCGCCCTCCTTAATAAATACAATAACGTGATGCTTTTATTAGTGAAGTCTCTTTATGAGGCTTAGGGAAAGTTGTATTTTGTCATGAGAAAAAGTCCCGCTGTCACAGGAATTGAATCCAGGACCCTGGGATTACAAGGCAAGCATCTTCACCACCAAGCTATTCAACTCCAGTCCTAATGGAGCATTCTCTCTCACCTACCCCACATGTTCCAATAACTGTTTACACAACACTTGGCTCTAATTGACTGTAGAAGCAATTTACATACACAACCATCGACAGAGTTTGTTTAACATTGTACCTAGCCCAATACATTTCAGGAGAAAAAAAGCTCATTGTATATTTTCCCCTCATCATTGGATACACAATGAAACTCTTCAATTTCCTGTGTCATTTTCCTAGCCATGCACAGACCTTTCTGGAATGTCAATCAAACAGTTAAACTGACCAATCTGAGCATGTTATTCAATTGTGCTAAGAATATCGACGTTGTACAACCCACACTTGAAATGTTTTTGTTCGAATGGATGTCGTTTTGTGGAACCTTAGTAACAGGCTATTGAAATCGTCCATTTAGCCTCAGACCAGTATTATCACTCCCATCCTACCAGGTAGGCCAATAGCTATTTTTATTCCTGCGATGAGAGCAAAAAACTAAAAAGTTCCTTCCAAGGGACGCAAACACTCTTTTTAAGCATCAGACAAGAATCCAGATCCCTTGTAAAATACTTAATTTGTTGGCATTAATCCACCCTACTGTGCCTAAATATTAACATCCTGAATCTTTACCTATTTTCTGTCACATATAGCCTTATTTGTGGACATGCTCATTGACCATCAGCATGTGTGAATATAACAGTGGCAAAGCCACATGCGTGTCAAGATTTGGCCTTATGAGGGCGCCATATTTTTAGAAATTTCACACATGTGCTACAGCGGCATAAATGAATCTATATTATACATGCTAGCTACTAATAGCCGGGCTAATAGCCTGAAAGTGTCTATAGTTATTATTCACACGATTGTCCAAGCATACCATGATGCAACAGCCAATCTAATGTACATACTACCACCATGCCATGTGTTTGATTTCATGCAATATATGCGTGATGGTTCTATAGAAGCGCTGATTCCTTTACCCGCATTTTGTTTAGATAATATTTTTTCTTTCTAACCTGTTTCTGTATTTCCTCTTCATGTACTGTCATGTCTGTTACAGTATAACACTGCAAAATAAAACAAGAAAATTAACAATTAATTTAATTGTTTTCAATGCTGCTATTAAAAATTATATTTAGTGATAAAATAGTTTTCATTATGAAGATAGCGCAATGAATTTTTAAAATTAAGATATTCTATAATTCATTTAATTTAATTTATTTATTCAACCAATGCACATTTACAATACAACAAATTTTGGTCAGGGGCAGCTTAACTAAAGTTTTGCTATAACTCATTGAGCATCAGCTGCCCAATTAATAAATATTAACATAAAAAAAAACGCAAGATAAAATATTGAGTATAAATAAACCTATCGTAAGTTCAACATCAGAATAAATAAAAATCAGAATAAATAAAAAATAAATAAAGATCAGTTGTAAAGATAAAAAATATTTGTGATAAATTATAATATGATAAAATTAATTATTAATCCTAATATAGATACAGTTTCCCCTCCAATTCTGGGCCTCTCTAATTTGAGACCACTGTTCTGACTAACAATCAATTTTAAAAATCAAAGCTAATCCTCTAATTGGTGAATGAACACTGAGATCACCCAATATTTTGAATGTTTAAACTGTAGCTACAATTAACCAGAGCTCATTGTTTATCAAGCCGCAAAAAATCTTTATCACTACACTCACCTTTTTCGAGGACGACCTGTTCATTCGACTAACTTTCTTTATGTCCATCTCTGTAGTGTTTACACAGCCTGGTACAGGTCTATGAACGTCCCAGAACGCCCTCTCTTGGCTGTCCAGAACCTTTCGCTCCATTTTGTCCCTCTTCTTGTCAACCCTGAATTGGAAATGAAATTTGAATCATGTAATCAGAAGATGGTAATTTAGTAATGGAAATGCAACATTCAAAGCGCAAAAGCAAAAAAATACAAAATATTATATTAAAAATTTGATGTAAATAAAATTATTAAAAATTATGTAAAATATATTAAAATAGGGCATTTAATAATAATTATAAAGCAGTATTGTTAGTGCAAATATGGAATAGTTGTAACTTGCATTAACGTTCAAAAAAAAATAATAACAAATGCTAAAAAATGTTTATAAATGCTGGAAGACTACCGCAAACAGATATGGAGATATTCATGCTTTCAAAGAGATGGTATTGATGACATTACATCTATTATTATTTACCAACTAAATGTCTGTACACTTTTTAATTAATATTAGTTCATACAGCCATTATTAATATTATTAAATGGGGAGTGCTATTGTTAATCTAATTCTTAGCCATCAGGTGTTCACATCTCACGTTGGCTTGCTCCTCCCGTCCTTGGTCAACGTAGTGTACTTTGCATACATTTGTTTATTTTCACAAGGAGTGTGAATAGGTATATTTTATATTAGTAGCAATCAAATTTAATGTTTAATGGTGAATATTTTTAAGTACGAGCATTTTGCCCAGGCAGCGGAGGAGATTGTACGCTTACGATGTGTATGTGTATTAACATTTCCAAATATGTGCATTAACATTTCCAAATATCACAATTCTTATATCTGCATCCATTTAATACTACACCAAAAGAACTACATTAAAAAAATATTAATGAGCTTCGCGAATTCAATGTAGATTAGTTTTTGTAGTGCCAGATTAAAATTTGCTTCTTGTATTTTTGTTTACCATTTTCCCTTATTATTATTATTATTATTATTATTATTATTATTATTACTAGTACAGTAGTTACAATAATATAGAATATATCATTTATAATTTTTCATATTTTAATAATCAGTATTTAGATTTAAAATTTACTGCATTGCATTTTATGAAATTTTCAATTTATACTGAACAACAATGGAATATATCATTAATGAATATGTAAATAAATAAAACAATAAAAAATGAATTCATAAATAAATGAATGAAAATTACCAGAACAATTATTGTACAAGCATTTACCATAGTTATCTATTTTAGTCTATATCACTATTATATAAACAGTAAAAAATAAAAATCATCATTACATTAAAAATTATGGGGAGGGAGGTGTTAAAGCACACCTTCCCCCCCCCCCATGGCAGCAAATTAGTAACAATGAGTGAGGTACTAAAAGTGACTTTTAAGTTTTCATTGGAATATTGATTTAGTTCCGCATTCTCAATTTTCGCGCCCCGCCTCCCCCCAGGCAAAAAACCAGCCTTCGCCCCTGCTTAATCATATTTCATAAAAGTAGAGAGGATACTATGTGGTACAAACTGTTACTGCGTTCATGATGGCCATCATCTGTTTGAACTCTGACTCCTTTCAAGATCCCCTTTACCTCTGCCATTATGTTTTTAATCAAACGCATGTGTTAAATATGTGGACACTGAAGACGAGCTGCACTAATTTCAAACATCCTAACGTTTACAACTTCTTTGTTAATCGTTGTAGAACCACAGACTCAACGGCTGGTAGTTTGGTTTACCAATATGACATTACATTATTATTAATAACAATATATTAATTTTAAAAATTAAATTTACATTAACAAAAATGTTATAATTACATGATGATTTTAAAGCATTGGCTCTTTATGTTCATCAATATCCTTTCCGTACACTCATTGCATTTTGTTTTATTAGTACATAAGATCATGCATTTTTATCTCATAAAATGTTAAAATTGATTTTACATATTGCATCACAATACGAATACCACAATGAATAAATGTCATTTGAATTTGAATTTGATACATATATGCTTTTGTCACAAGAATACTATTGTAAATAGGCATATGCCAATCCAAAAAATAAAAGCATAATAATCTAAAAAATTTCGATGGCGTTTTTTTTTTTTTTTTTTTTTTGCGTCAGGAGAAATAATACAAATCGATGTTTGCCCTACCATGTTATAGTACTCAATGCTCAGAGTGTTCCCAAATGTTTGCAAAAAAATGTAAAGTACCCGCTACTACTTTGGGATCAGATTCATCACTAGCCACCAAGCGCAAGCTCGGTGGTCAAATAATGTTAAGGCACCAGGCTAGTTATCTGGAGGATTTTTTTTTTTACATTTTTTTTATATATTTTAAAATCATTTTTAATTTTTTTTATATTCTTAAAGGAAAAAAATTATTATTTATTCACTTTATTTATTTACTTCTTACCTTTTTGGTTTTTCTTTTGGCACTTGTGTGTGTGTGTGTGTGTGTGTGGTGTTGAGTGTGTTTCCTTATTCAATTTACTTATATTACATGATGTTGTTGGCATTGGTCATTGTCTTTTACTTGGCTTAATATTTTTATTTTTTTTCTTACTTAGGACACCTTGATTTACAAGCTCTTCTGAGTTTTTTGTTGGTTGTCCTTTTCATCATTGTATTTTATTTTAATGCTTTTTGTATTTTTATTGATGATGAATAGAAATCAAAGGAGGTTGTGGGTTTGATTCCCGCCCGAATCACTTGCGAAATTTTTTGATTCATAATATAAAAATATAATAAATTAAACACACAACAATAAACATTATGGCAATAAATATAAAACTAATATAAATAGGTTACATATAATATAGAAAATAAACAAATTCACTTGTAAACTTACTTTGCTTGTACTTCGGCTTGCATGAAGATAAATTCCCACTTTCTAGAAAACATTCGTTGCAATTTTGCCAGGTTTTCCTATAGAATTCAATAATTTATTTATATGAAAATTTTCTAGTGCTGACTCATCCAGTAATTTTTTATAGCATAACTATTAAACTTGCATGGAATATTTCTTCCATCATCATTGCTCGAGTCAATTGGCTAGAGAATCATAAAAGAGGTGGTTCGCTCTGACATCTTTTTGATGCATGCACTTGGTTGCTAGGTGACCAAGATTGTTTACTTACTGGTTAAAGGTCATGTGAATGAATTACTGCACTTAAGAAAATTACCTTAGATCATGACGATTATGATGATGGTGTTGATAATAATGTGATGATTATGATAATGATGTTGATGATAAAGATGAGAATCATGATAGTAATGATGATGATAATGATGATGATGATGATGATGAATATGGTAATGATGTAGATGATAATAAGGTTGACAATTATAATAAGAATTATGTTGTAACTATTCCAGCATATAAGAATGATGTTGATAATGATGCAAAATGATTAACTATTTTTGGCAATGGATACATTCGCTCTACAATTATTATTCTTATTACTATTATACTAGAGAAAGACCTAAAAACAAATACATAAAAAATATTACAATCTTAATACTACTAATTAAGAATATAAAAAATCTATCCTGTTCATTATTATCAAGATATCAGATGTAATGACTTTTTTTTTCTAATTATCCCTCATAGTATTAATCGCAGCCGAAGTCACACATCTGATTATTGAAAATGAAATTGAAATGGAGGGCAGTGTAATTAAGCAATGTAGTTCTACGTAATGGAATAACATACCGCTTCATAGTCAGCTAGCTCTAACCTGGACTTGTTTTGCATAGTTCTCTTACAAAGGTAAACCGCTGTGAAAATAAAAAATTTTTATCGAACAATATTTATTTATTTATTCATTCATGCTGGTAAAAAATGCATCTTTATGGTTAAAATCATATCAAATCAAATCAATTTTTATTTATCACAGGGGTGGGAGGGCCAAAGTGAATTTTTGATTTAACACAGAGGGCCGCACCCAAACTTTGTTTCCAGTATGCTTCCAAAAACCCCCAAGAAATGCTTTTGTGCCAATTTATTCTCAGTTTTAATGTTACTTTTTACATATGATCGGTGTCGGGCCATAAAAAAACAAGGTGTTTTCTAGTGAACGTTGCTTCTTGGGCCACACTCATAGGGCTTTTAATTCATTTTCAAGGGCCGTAAAAATATCATGTCACATAAAATGTAATAGTGTAGACAAAGCTTGGTTTCCATAAAAATCACTATACGCTATCATCGACTCCTTTGGCGACGCTGATTAGTCAGTTGAATAAGGGAGTGTTCCCGATTGCGTCAGTGACGGATATGCAGTGCAACGATTGCAGTGAAAACACTGTAGCGACCGTGTAGAGATTCTATGGAAACCAAGCTTGAACGCAGGATCACTGTAGCTGGATAATCAGTAGTCACTGTGTTTGTGCTGAACAATGGAAAACTTTAATAATAATGAAAATAATCAAAAATTTATAATGCATCAATTTTCGAAAAAGATAAAAGTCTTTCACCCGATTCACAAACATACTAGGGAAACTTTAACAAGTGTTTCTTGCTACATTGTGTTTGTGTGAAGGCCCATTTATGTAAGTTTAAGGTGTGTAATAATCTTGTAAGAAAAAAAGACATTAGACCTAAAGGGCCAATCTCTTTCGTAGTAGACGTCGCAGTCCCCTCTACGTCAGCCTGATGGTGAGGCCTACAGTTTGCACCAATCAAAAGGTTAAAAAAAGTACAATTTTTCAGGGGAATAGTACTTTCTACTGCCCGCTTCTTAACCAATCAGATGCCTAGAATCTATGTATGAGGTATATAAAAGTTAACTATACCACTATATACAACCTATGTGGTATTCTTACCATAATCTGTATTTTCTGGCTCCCAACAATTTGACGGCCAGAAATACGGCGCTTGAAATCGATAAAATGTGTTGTCGTCTTTTAAAGTCAATACATGATCCGTAATTGGGAAGAAATATCCGTGTGCTGCTACTAACGAGCCAAGATGAATTGCATTCACTAAACACAAAGTAACGAGAATCGTATTATTGTATGAAGGACACTAATAACAAATAATATTACATTATTTACATATAATGTTCGTAAAGTAATGGGTTTTCCAATGCCTATCGACAAAGGATTCCACAGTTTATTTTTAATTATGGTAAGGTGTTGAGTACTAGGAAAGGATGAAAAACATGTTCATGCACCCGGGAGAAATGATTAATCCGGAACCTGAACTTAAGCATGGAACTCGCATGGGCATAACCAGTGTTTATTTTGTTGCCAGACTAATAACAATGTCATAACAACATTATATGCGAGTGAATAATAGTAGTAGTATTGTAGTAGCAGTTTCCACGCTAGCAGAGATATGACAGGAGGACAGCTAAGCCTCCCTGTGAGGAACAAATTTTTAAACCGTTTAATATTAGAGAAATGCTTTATAGTCCAGAACCTAAACTCAAGCATGAACACACATAGGCATTGCCAGTGTTTAATTATTTGTTTCCAGACTTAATAACAATTTCATAGGAACATATGTGAGTAAAGTAGTATTGTAGTAGTAGCAGCACTAGCAGAGGTAGGTCAGGAGGACTTAGCCAAGACCCTCTGTCAAGCAACAGATTTTCAGACCAAAAAAAGGAAAAAACTGTTTTTCTTTAATAAAATATTGTTTAGCATATTACATGATAATACACCTCAAAACAGCTTAAAATATTTTCTAGCACCTGGCTTCACCCCCTGTTGCCCCACCAGGGCTTTATTCCTAGAACCCCGGCGATTTTTTTTCAGAAATATGAGAGCAGCTAAGCTCAGTCAGTTAAACTATTGGTAGCCACTGTGTGTGTGCTGAACCGTTGAAATCTTTTGGTCTCTGTTCAATTTCCATCACTGCTCTCTTGATTTCAACTGGAGGGCTGAAATGCAAGTTACGATAGCAAACCGTCTTTCAGATGAGACGTTTAAGCCTTTCATGGTCCTATGTGCATTTTTTTATGGCCCATGTGTACATTAAAGAAAGCAGAATATTCTTAAAAAAAGAGTAGATCATTTTTTCCCGGTGTACTTCCCTCACCTACAGAAGGATCCTACTGGAGGTAAGTCTTCTTTAGAATTTTTCTCAGGGATGTTTACACAAAAGAAATCCATCTATCCATTGTCAAACTCCAGATGGACATTTTTAAGTCCCCCACCCCCTATCTGAAAATCATAGCGCCACCACTGAGTATTACACAATAGTAATATAGCCAGAATATGAATAGTAGTTATTTTTTTAAAGATTCTATTGTGACTGCATGTTAGGTCCCAAGAGAGTCCACCCAGCTACAACATCATGAATTAATAACCAGTATTATCACTGTGTATTACTATGTACCAAAAAAAATGTAAATGCATCTTCTATGACTGTGCTTTCTGCGCTTACAACACTACTGTGTGTGCTTACAGCACTAATGCGCGTGTTTCACTAATGTGTGTACTAAACCTGGTACTATAAGCTTGTCTGATGAATCACATTGACAAAGGTTAGTAATTCAACACATTAGTAGTCTAAAATTATTTCACGCTTGAATGCACATCATACATTATACTAATTACACATATTATGCTAATTTTGTACAGGCATGGAGAAACAATTTTTGTGCCTACAACCATAAAAATCATCTTCATAAAATGCATTCAGCATTAAACATTATTTTTATGCTATTGTTAACTGCTCAGTGGTTGTTTGGAAATAAATTAATGTATAGAGGGGAAATGTTTGATATTGGCAACTATTGATCATATACGTTCTAGCCCTAAATTTTTGTAACTTATAATTATATTTAATGTTATGAAACCATGATAATTATGCAAATTAATAGTAAATACACACTAGTATAATACCTTGTGATTACTTAATATTCTATGTATATTATGTAAATTATGTTATTACATATTTATGCTAATTTTATATGCTAATTGTGATATAACATATATGAATAATATGCTTTATGCATAAAATACGCTAATTATCATAGAGTCCTGTAGCACACACACACATTTTATTTATTATTCATAAATGTTCATTGTATTATGCTAATTAAATTCAAATAATAGTTCTAGAGTGAAAGAAAAATATCAATTGATGTGTGACATAACTCTTGGGTGGGGCATGGCGACACATCCATGAGCACAAACGGGTACCTGGGTAGGGTACAACTATTGTTGATGAGTGTATTTTGCTGAATATTCATAGTACAGGAATATTACACTTGGAATATAGGGGGTTGCACACTGTGTATGATTGGTGCTATTTTAATTTCAAGGAAGCAATAACAATCCCGGTATTTGTTTTGAGATGTTAGGTCAATCTCAGTGGGAACCTAGTAACACTCTTATCAATTGGGACCTAGCAACAGGCCCTAGTAAGTTCCCTTCCAAATAAGGAACCCATTCACATTAGTAGAAGCTGAAGGTACTACATACACCTATAAAAGTTATCCAACACATACCCTCTTCTTGATTTTTAAAAATAAGCCAAAAATTGTGATTTGTAATTCTGTTTATTTATTATTTATTTTATTTATGTATTAATTAGCAAATAATGCATATGGATTTAAAACTCTTAATTTTGTTAGACCCCGGGTAAGCCCATCCGTTAGTGAGGTTAAGTTATAAATTAATATAGTTTAATCCAATCTTTACACTCTATATTGAATACACTTATTTATCACGATTTTTGTGTTCATGTTAGCATAAATTATGCAATCTGATATAAGAAACATATGTTCTTATATTATGTTCAAAAGGCTATGTAATTGTAGCGAAATACTTTAAAGTAGTTACGTTGTTTAATTGAATGAATCCTTAGTTTAGTTGAATTTGAATCTCTAGTTAATTGAATTAAATTGCTAGCTGAATTGAATTCCTACTGTTTTAGTTGAATCCTTAGTTTAGTTGAAATTAATCTTTATTTGATTAATATTAAATTGAATCCCTAGCTTAGTTGAATTAAATCATTAGTTTAGTTGTTGAATAGATACAGTAGCATAGTTTTCTACTGAATATTCACATTTTACAATGCTAAAGTTGTACATTTTCTTTGCATATGATTTCTTTCAATATATAGGGCAAATAATACTTAACATTATGCTCCGTTAATTTAACATTTATAATTTATGGATTAAAACTTGGTAATTAATTTTCAAATGAAGTATTTGCAACCTTATATTTTAATAATAAACACTTTTTGTATGGCACAATGAGTGTTTAATGTGGCTTCTATTTTTAAACTGAGTACCAGGAATCGGACTAAAAATCTACGTGTATGAAATGTATAATTTTATTAATGCATTCACTACATGAATAAACTTTAGAACTGATTTCATCTTCAAATATGTATTACTTTATAATATCTCTTCAAAGATAATATCTACAAAATAATCTTAAAGTATCATAAAAAAAATTATTGATTATCTTTCAAAAAAGTAATAGTATATAGTGGCATACTAAATTTGAATTATGGATATATAAATTTTCATATCAAAGTTGTTTTTAAAGCCAAAACTGTGACCTTATGACCTTGTACCCTTGTTGTGAACTTTGTAATCGAGTGGTAAATTTGCAGGAATTCTAATCGAAATATTGTTCAGTAAAAAGAAAAACTCTTGAATATTGCATCTGCCTTAAAGTCAAAAGCTTTTAAAATCTGAACTCTTTCTGGAGGAGAACCAAAAATTATGTCACAACGAATACAAAAATTTTCTGATTTGAAAACAGGTTTTAAAATTTCACTAATCTAGTCAATAGCAGTAACAACAAATCACCAGTTATTACATTAATAACTGGTGACACCCACCCCCCTCTCTCTGTCTGGTGTAGTACTTTTAATTGCCAATTTCAATTTGTTAGTGTAGGCCTTTATGTATTTTTGTTAAGTTAATTGTTTAATTCTTTGTTTTTAATATTGATTGTTCTTTTTAAGATGTACATTGTGGATGCACCACAGGTAAAGGTAAATTTAAAGGTGTAATTTCCACATAAATACTTACTTAATAACAATAATTATGACAAAAAAATGTTATAATTATTCTATCAATATAATATATATTTATTTACAATCATATACAGATATAAATATAATCTTAATCATTCTTTGTCAAAGATATTAAGATTTTGAAAAATTAATATATAACATTAAAAAAAATCCAAATCAATAGTTTTATCATCATTCCAATTGAATTTGTTCAAAAGCATATAACATGTTTACAGGCATGTCCAGATTATCAAGTTTTCTTTGACAAAAAAACTGTTGTATGCCCATATATAGTCATGATGTGCCTATATATGGACATGATGTGATGTCATCATGACTATATTTAGGCATGTCACAAGCTTTTGTTAAGTACAACACTTGATAGTGAGGATAATACGGATTCTCTACCAAGTAAGCTATGATGCAAAGCTTGTAAACTCCCATGGTTTTTTTTTTGATTGGGAAATATTTCTCACAGTATTGCAATCACAAAGAATAAGAATAATAATAATATAGAAGAATAACATTGATATGAATTTTGATATGGAGAAATATCTCCACTAATGGTCATCATTGATGAAGGCGTTCCTTCATACCAAAGTCATTAGACCTATTAAATAACCAGAATAATATTACTATCATATGTATATAAAAACCAATATAATTTATATGGCATAAGGAATATCTATGATTAAATACAATATTTTAATATATATATACATATACATATATACATACATATATATATATATATATATATATATATCTGTCTCTTAT